TTCATTATATATATATATATATATATATATATATATATATAAACTTCAATATGTTTTCGAAATATATTAACATTAAAATATTTGCCGTAGTTACTGATTTTTGATGATTATTGAAGCACATTAACATTCTTAACATTTTAAAGACATAAAAACAGAAATAATCCGAATATAATGCCTTTATCCTATATTTACAAATATATTTTTGGCTATTTTAAAATATTTTGTATATTTTAAAAACATAAATATATATATTTTTAAAGCATTTAAATATATATTTGGCCAGATTATTATATTAAATTGTGCCTTTATCGTCACTTCTGGTCAAAAATAAATTGATAAAAATGCCCGATTTATGCATATTTTCCCACTTCTGTGTGGAAAAGTCCGAACGATATAAGTTTCAGTCACATACTTCGCCCTTGCATTCAAATTTATCTCATAAATGCGATTTTGTAAAGTATAAATGTCTAATACATAAAGTTAAGCAGCTACGTTGAACGTCACGTAACGTAATTAATATTCATGACGCACAACGTGCCATGTGCGTCGAGGAAAAGTGAAGCGAGGAGACGCAAACTAATCGCATTTGACAAAAATATTAGCTTTTGAGCCCTTACTATAAAACTTTCAAAGTATGTACATTCATACTTGTTATTATATTTCAAGCATGAATTAAATGAGAGTATAAAAGTAATGTGACTTGTCCGGATTAAATGCGCACTAGCTGCTGCAAGAAGTAACTGCTTATATTATAAGAGTGAAATATCGGCAAATATAAACCAGGATGGACCTCTGATGAGTTTATCGGAGTGTGTGCTTCTGGAAACGCCTGTGAAACACTGTACTTGTCTTATGTAAGCAGGGAAAGTGCTGGAAAACAGTGCAGTGCCTCCTCTGGTCAGAAAACAACTGCAGCTAAAAAAAGACTGGACTGTTCCAGACTCAAATCAGCGCATCCACATACTACTGAGCCCAAAACAAGTCACGTGACTGTTTCTAAATGTCACGCATTAGATTATTCATCTGTGCATGCTTCACAAGACCATCTTAAAGGGATAGTTCACCCAAAAATGAAAATGTGATGTTTATCTGCTTACCCACAGGGCATCCAAGATGTAGGTGACTTTGTTTCTTCAGTAGAACACATTTGATGATTTTTAACTTTAACCGTTGCAGTCTATCAGTCGTATAATGCATGGCAACGGTAACAAAATCTATGAGAGTAAAAAAAACATGCACAGACAAATCCAAATTAAACCCTGCGGCTCGTGACGACACATTGATGTCCTAAGACACGAAACGATCGGTTTGTGCCAGAAACCGAACAGTATTTATATCATATTTACCTCTAATACACCACTATGTCCAACTGTCTTTGAGGGCGCGCACGGCATCCGGTGCGTGAGGTGTGTACGCGCTCTGCCGTAGTTTACATTAATGTGTGTGTTGATATCCAGCCGAAGAGCAATCAACCATAACCTCAGGCGAGCAGGCTCAGAAGTTGGGAATACGTGGAAAGTCACCACTCCCGAATGAGTTCGCGTGAGAGAACGTAATCTTTTAGTTTTAAGTCGGTTTGAACAATCCGGATAAGCGCAAGTAAGTACCATTTTGATTAGCCGTCGTACCTACAATGACTGCACTGTGTAAACAATGAGTGAAGTATACGCGCGAGAGATCACTTCCGGCGCTTGCGTAAACTACGCCAGAGCGCGTACACACCTCATACCGGATGCCGTGCACGCGCACAAAGACAGTTGGACATAGTGGTGTATTAGAGGTAAAATATGATATAAATACTGTTCGGTTTCTGGCACAAATCGATCGTTTCGTGTCTTAGGACATCAATGTGTCGTCACGAGCCGCAGGGTTTAATTTGGATTTGTCTGTGCATGTTTTTTTTTACTCTCATAGATTTTGTTACCATTGCCATGCATTATACGACTGACAGACTGCAACGGTTGGAGTTAAAAATCATCAAATGTGTTCTACTGAAGAAACAAATTCACCTACATCTTGGATGCCCTGGGGGTAAGCAGATAAACATCACATTTTCATTTTTGGGTGAACTATCCCTTTAAGTGTCTTAATTTTTACTTAAAGGGACAGTACACCAAAAAAATGAAAATCTGTCACAGTTTACTCACCCTCAAGATGTTCCAAACCTATTTTTGCTAAATGTTTTGCTTGAAAGTTGTATTAAAAATAAATTACGCTTGTCTTGATATTTTGCTAATGCAGTGACAAAAGAAGAAAAAAGAAAGCGCTGGTAATTTTCTGCCAAGACATTATCCAGTAGTTTACAGACACTTCTATTAACCGTAGCACAATACAATGAAGTGCAAAATTCAAAACACGGGTCAAACACCTGTATATATATAAAATAAATTCTTCATATTAATACAGCATTCAGAGTTTTAAAAGTACTTTTAGGAGGTTTGTCAATTTATTTATACAGCGCTTATACAGTGAGTTTTCATGATTTTAAAACTGGTTTAATATGCTTATGAATTGATACTTGTGAACGTGCATTTTATATTAATGCACCACGCTGATTGGTAAACACCTTCAGTTACACTAGTTATAATCACATTAACTTTTTTTCTTGGTGGAAGAATTGTGTTCAAACTGCTTTAATCTGCTTATTTCTGGTTACTGAAATCGTGTCTTTTTTCGTTTAGGGTGATGAATGTCCGTTCAATATTTCAACTCGGATGTGTTTTGGAAACTTTGGTTACTACTTTGATGTTTGGTCATATTGATCCCCATTGGCTTCAATGCAACCATCCAAAAAAACAAACAAAAAAACAAAACTTTTATTGTTTGTCAGACTACAATATGAAATATAATACTTAATAATAAAAATTGAACAGTTGGACAATTCAGTGAATCCAATCAGATTTTTTGGACTGTGAATCTCTGAAAAATCTGCAAAAAGATCAGATTTTTTTTTTTTCCGGTTATTATTTTTCCGATCTCAGTTAGTCTGCACTGAACATAAGCGTGAGATACCACACTTATAATGCACTTATAATTATTTTCAGAGCTGAACTTTTTCTCAGCACTGACAATAAAGGTGAGAATCTCATTTCTATAACTATTTACATCTATTTAGTTACACCGAATAAAAATAGCGATAAATGCTTGTTTGGTTTATTTATTTATTCAACCTTTATTTAAGCAGGCAACTTAATTAAGAACACGTTCTTATTTTTAATAACAGACTGCCAGGAGAATTAATATCTCCTGAGAAACATACAAACGTATATTACAATACATAAAACACATAAAAGAAAAAGAATAGAATCAATTAAAACACTTACAGGTCGAGGTCAGAGCACTTACTAGTAATTTTTTAAATGCACAGAATATTTGTCTCTAGTTTCAATAACTTTTGTAGCACATTCCAATCATTTGGCGCAGCAAATTACCATAAGTAGTTTTCTAAAACTATAGGAAATATAATTAGATGCATTAAAATTAGGTTTTGAGCAACGAACATTTTCCTTTTGTGCTCAACAGAAGAAAGAAACGTGCACAGGTTTGAAACAACTGAGCAAATACAGAATTTTTATTTTAGGGCTAGGGTTATTTTTTTGCCAAGTTGCATGGAAACCAATGGGGGTCATTGACTCACAACACAACCGGGCCATAATTTCAACACAAGGAGGTTAAGGAAGGTCTGCAAGAATGCACTAGAATGCATCAGGATCTCACAGGTGGCTTGTGTGAGTTCTGGCACCTCAATTCAAAGCCTGTGATATTTTTTTCAATCTCTGCAGCGAATAAGCATTCGAGATCCGCGGCCCATGTGACGCCCGGAACGCTCTGGCCTTGATTGACAGACACCTCTTGTGGCTCCCTGCCCCAAAAAGGACAAAAGGGGTATATGGTGGACTCGCCTCACACACACGGCCCGCCGGTCTTACTTTAGCTCTCTATCACCCCTCCTTACTCTAGTGAACACTCCTTCTGGAACTTTCTCAATCGGGGGTTTCGAGAAACTTTGCTCACGAGTATATAAAGGCTGAAGAAGGCCCGATGCTCGGCAGATAAACCCAAAGCCAAAGCAGCGACGAGAAGTCAACACGAGAGAGCACAGCTCAACAAACTCAAAGCAAACTCCAGTGGAGTAGATCTCCATACGCCAGAAGACTTTTTGCACAGACGCTTTATACAGAAGACAATCATCAAGGTAAGAGGAATGAAATTCCATACATTAAATTTGTGATTTGCACCGTTTTTAAAATTTGTAGAATTTAAATTTAATTTAGGAATGCATTTAAAAAAATATGTTACAATTGTATCAGAACATAGAATCATTTGAATGGCATTAATGGTAAATATAGTGTTTACTTATTTTATTTCTTTATTTAGTTGAGTTTTCTCAATTTTACAACATTTCAAACTTTTCCCTCACATTCAAAATTAAAGCCAAAAAAATGTAAGCAAATTCAATGGGTTGCATATAGAAGCTAAGAGCACATGTCTGCAAGCATGCCGGCTCTAGACAGCTGTGGCTTTTCAGACAATTTGTTAAGTCAGAGTAACTCAAAATATGATCCTAAAAATTAGAATAGGTCATATTACATTAGCAAAACCCCCTAAAATGGGGTATAAAGGACACTTTAGGTGCACCATTTGCCTTCTGCTTCTGTGACATGTGACACTCCTCCCTCTTTAAATTAGTAGTGACAGGTGCTGGACATGTGCTGTTGATTCAGTGGGATCAGCTGTTGCTTTATCATCATTCATTCAAAGTTTAAAGGCTTTTAGCCAGAGATAAAAGCTATTTGCTTGTATTTTGAAAAACTGACCATATATAACCCTTTTTTTTTTTTTTACCTTTTTAGTTTAGAATAATCTGCCGTTTTAATTCAAATAATTTTAGGATGAAAGTAATAAAAGCAGTCTACCACATTTTTAGTATGAAATATTTGTGACCTTGACGATTATGTATAAATTAGCATTTATAATTATCAAGTCAAGTCAAGTCAAGTCTGCTTTATTGTCAATTCTTCCACATGTACAGTACATACACACAGAGAATTGAAATTGAAAATATCACTAAGTTGTCATTCCAACATTTATATACGAATAAATGTATCTGTATTTTGAACAGGATTATTATAGTTAACTAAAATTAAAAAATGTTATCTATAAAATGAAAAAAAAAATTGTTACCAAATAATAACAAAATAAAATATAAAAAATTAGACGTATTTTATTTCAGCTGGTTTAACATTTCTCGTTTTCATTTAGTTTAACTTGATGTACTACAGTAACTGAAGCTGAAATAAAAATCATGAATGTGTGAAATATTTTAAAACAACAAAATTACTAAAACTTTAACTAAAATAAAGATGAAAGCACATGAAAAGCATAAAAAATATAAAAAATAAAATCTAATTCAAAACTATAATAGTATCTCAATGATACTAAAATAACACTGATTTTGACAAAGTACCAAAGTTAATATATAATTCGCTTTCATTTTATTTTTTAATTCAATTTTTTAGTTGTGAATAATCTGCACCTTTAATTAGTACAATTTTGAGCTATTTTTAATGCAGTGATGAAAGTAATGAGAGCATAAGTAGAATATTGTACCACATAACTATTTATATACAAATATTTTGTAGTATCAGAGGAATATAAAAGAAGTTAAAATAATTATTTAAAAAACAGGTGTCATTCCAACATATATATTTAGTAAGAATTACTAAAGGACAGACAATGCTCAGAAATCTATTTAAATTAAATTAAATTAATTAAATTAAATATGTGACCCTGGAGCACAAAACCAGTCATAAGGGTCAATTTTTCGAAATTGAGATGTATGCATCATATGAAAGCTGAATAAATAGCTTTCCATTGATGTATGGTTTGTTAGGATCGGACAATATTTGGCTGAGATACAACTATTTGAAAATCTGGAATCTGAGGGTGCAAAAAAATCAAAATATTGAGAAAATCATCTTTAAAGTTGTCCAAATGAAGCTCTTAGCAATGCATATTACTAATCAAAAATTAAGTTTTGATATATTTACAGTAGGACATTTACTAAATATCTTCATGGAACATGATCTTTACTTAATATCCTAATGATTTTTGGCATAAAAGAAAAATTTATAATTTTGACCCATACAATGTATTGTTGGCTATTGCTACAAATATACCCCAGCGACTTAACACTGCTTTTGTGCTGCAGGGTCACACATATATATATATATGCTTTATATTCCAGAATCCTTATTTATAATCCTTATTATTAATCTTTTATGCAGATGCCCGAGAACGCCACACAGCCCATGATGGAAGAGGAAGCAGAGACCTTTGCCTTTCAGGCTGAGATCGCTCAGCTGATGTCTCTGATCATCAACACCTTTTATTCCAACAAAGAGATCTTCCTCAGGGAGCTCATCTCCAACTCTTCAGATGTAAGTCAATCAGTGCATTCTCCATTTATGTTCCAGCATTTGTTCCAAAAATTCACAATAACACAATGCATATCTTCAAAACAGGCATTGGACAAGATCAGATATGAGAGCTTGACAGACCCAAGCAAACTCGACTCATGCAAGGACCTGAAGATTGAACTCATCCCCGATCAGAAAGAGCGCACGCTCACAATCATCGACACCGGCATCGGCATGACCAAAGCAGACCTCATCAACAACCTGGACACCATCGCCAAATCCGGCACCAAGGCCTTCATGGAGGCCCTGCAGGCTGGAGCGGACATTTCTATGATCGGCCAGTTTGGAGTGGGTTTCTATTCTGCCTACTTGGTGGCCGAGAAAGTCACGGTCCTCACCAAACACAACGATGACGAGCAGTACATCTGGGAGTCTGCAGCTGGTGGTTCTTTCACAGTGAAGCCAGACAACAGTATGAGCCCTCATAAGTGTTTTATTGTTTTTTTTAGTCTAAAAGTACTGGAACTTGACATATGCATTTGCTTTGGAATTGCAGGCCCATCCATTGGACGTGGCACCAAAGTCATTCTCCACCTTAAAGAGGATCAATCTGAATATGTTGAGGAGAAGCGCATCAAGGAAGTCGTGAAGAAACACTCTCAGTTCATCGGTTACCCCATTACGCTCTTCGTAAGTGCTTGTACTTTGGTACCAGAACTGCAAACCTTGGTTCCTCTCGACTTGAACAAATAAAGCATCAATTCTCATCTTGCAGGTTGAGAAACAGAGAGAGAAAGAGGTTGACCTTGAAGAAGGAGAAAAGGAGGAAGAGGTGGCGGCTGGCGATGAGAAAGACAAACCCAAGATTGAGGACTTGGGCGCCGATGAAGATGAAGACACCAAAGATGGGCAGAACAAGAGGAAGAAGAAGGTCAAGGAAAAGTACATTGATGCTCAGGAGCTCAACAAGACCAAGCCCATTTGGACCCGTAACCCTGATGACATCACTAACGAGGAGTACGGCGAGTTCTACAAGAGTTTGAGCAACGACTGGGAGGATCACCTGGCTGTTAAGGTTGGTAGGAATATTGAGTCAAAAATGAATGGAGCTCTTATTGAGTAGACTAGATGATTAAGCCACCAATAGTTTTGTTTTTAAACCACCAATCATCTTGTTTTTAATTAAACCACCAATCGTTTTGCTTTTAAACCACCAATCATCGTGTTTTTAAACCACCAATCGTTTTGTTTTTAAACCACCAATCATCTTATTGTTTAAACCACCAATCGTCTTATTTTTAAACCACCAATCATTTTGCTTTTGAACCACCAATTGTTTTGCTTTTAAACCACCAATCAGTTTGTTTTTTTTAAACCACCTATCGTTTTGTTTTTAAACCACCAATCGTCTTATTGTTTAAACCACCAACCGTCCTGTTTTTAAACCACCAATCATCTTGTTTTTAAACCACCAATCGTTTTGTTTTTAAACCACCAATCGTCTTATTGTTTAAACCACCAATCGTCCTGTTTTTTAAACCACCAATCGTCTTGTTTTTTAAACCACCAATCGTTTTGTTTTTAAACCACCAATCGTCTTGCTTTTAAACCACCAATCGTCTTATTTTTAAACCACCAATCGTCTTGCTTTTAATTAAACCACCAATCATTTTGCTTTTGAACCACCAGTTGTTTTGCTTTTAAACCACCAATCGTCCTGTTTTTAAACCGGCAATCTTCTTGTTTTTTAAACCACCAATCGTTTTGTTTTTAAACCACCAATCGTCTTGTTTTTAAACCACCAATCGTTTAGTTTTTTTAAACAACCAATCGTTTTGTTTTTAAACCACCAATCGTCTTATTGTTCAAACCACCAATCGTTTTATTGTTTAAACCACCAATCGTCTTGTTTTTAAACCACCAATCGTCCTGTTTTTAAACCACCAATTGTCCTGTTTTTAAACGACCAATTGTCCTGTTTTTAAACCACCAATCGTCTTGTTTTTAAACCACCAATCGTCCTGTTTTTAAACCACCAATCGTCTTGTTTTTTAAACCACCAATCATTTAGTTTTTTTAAACCACCAATCGTCTTGTTTTTTAAACCACCAATCGTCTTGTTTTTTAAACCACCAATCGTCCTGTTTTTAAACCGGCAATCTTCTTGTTTTTTAAACCACCAATCGTTTTGTTTTTAAACCATCAATCGTCTTATTGTTTAAACCACCAATCATCCTGTTTTTAAACCACCAATCGTCTTGTTTTTAAACCACCAATCGTCCTGTTTTTAAACCACCAATCGTTTTGCCCAATCATGCTGTTTTTAAACCACCAATCGTCTTGTTTTTTAAACCACCAATCATCTTGTTTTTAAACCACCAATCGTTTTGTTTTTAAACCACCAATTGTCTTATTGTTTAAATCACCAATCGTCCTCTTTTTTAAACCACCAATCGTCCTTTTTAAACCACCAATCATCTTGTTTTTTAAACCACCAATTGTTTAGTTTTTTTAAACCACCAATCGTTTTGTTTTTAAACCACCAATCATCTTGTTTTTAAACCACCAATCGTTTAGTTTTTTTAATCCACCAATCGTTTTGTTTTTAAACCACCAATCGTCTTATTGTTTAAACCACCAATCGTCCTGTTTTTAAACCGGCAATCTTCTTGTTTTTTAAACCACCAATCGTTTTGTTTTTAAACCA